ACAAAGCTCGTCTACCGCTTTCGTTTTACTCTGTATTTCGTCGTATACGATTATATTTCTCCGTGTACGGCTTATAGATATACGATCGTTCAAAATTTGATTGTATACGAAGAAACTCGGAGGGAGAGGAATTACTTCATTTTGACAATAAATCAATAGCGTAAGGTAATCTAGCAACATACCACGGCATCTGTAATCAACCCAGTAATTTTGAAAGATCAGATATTGCCGGATATAACATGAAAACTTTTATCGATATCTGATAAGCAAAAATCTTCAACTTATGACATCATACTATCAGAAGCTATCTTGCCAAAGAAATCCTATCGAATCTAACAGGATTCTAGAATAGATCTAGCCACTCTGAAAACTTCTTCTCATTTTGACGCATGCGTTACGCTACGAGTTATCTATCCATTGTTAGATTCACATCACAAGCTTCCCTGGGGCTAAGAAAAATAGTCAAGAAAAGTAAGCCGATATTATCATTTTAAATGTTGATCTTTACCAGAAAAACTTGCCAAGATTGTGAGAAAATGATGAGTTCACATTGGGAATATAATTGAGTGATTTTGCCTCCACTAGAGAACTATAAAAATTGGGTCCCGATAAGGGATATATAACATTGCTGACATTGATCACTAAAATCATATAATTTAGCTTCCCTAGCTATATACCTCGACTGATCAGCACATCAGTTTGTGTTATGTGATCTTTTCGTATGATATGGTAACATTAATCAATATATTCATGGATGTTTTCGTCAACAAACTACTTTTTCGTGAGAAAAGAGGAAATAGAGGCGGAGTGGGATGCCAGGAATAAGATAATCCTTTTAACTCTTTAAGGATCGGTGGGCCATTTTTAATCCACCTACTTTTCAGTAAAGAAAAAAAAGTGTTCAGTTCACATTAAACTATTAAATATATTAGGTCATTAAGATCATAAACAACAACAACATTTGTCATCTCATACTTTTCTTTTCTTTTTTTCCTTCTCTCATATAGGTTCTTTTCAAATATCCTTTGTGCTTTCTGCTACGATACAGTGACATCATAATTTCTTCATTCTTCTTTGATCTTTTGTTTTTCGAGAATATTCTTATTCTATATCGAGTATATATACTCCCGTTCTCATTAACGAATTTACATTGTTCTTGAATTTACAAAGTATATCATGTCTCTTTCGAAGTTGCACTCTTTATTTCATTTCATACCATTGTACAATTAATTTTGATAATGAAATGCTTTTCCCTATGAAAGGAAAAAGAAGTTGTGCTTATTTTAGCACCAAGGAAGCAGATGTTCGATCAAACATCAAGTGCTTTACTTGCAAATTAGCATTTTGTTTAAAAGATGAAAAAGATTGTTTTTTTGATTATCATAACATATTTATGTAGCCATTTTGAGTTAAAATAAAATAAAAAGATTGAAAAATATTTTTTTTCGATTGAAAAAATTCGATCCTCAAAGAGTTAATGAACAAATAATCGAGATTTTTAGTCGTTTACACTTTCTTTACGAATGAAGTACAATGTTCTTGGCTTTTAGTCAGAATAAATTTTTATTTCGAGATGATTATTTATTTATCATCGTCTTTATATATTCATTTATTATTATATCTGTTTATATAACCGATCGATCACTGGAACATTATTTTTTCTTGTCTTTCTATTTTCTCTATATCTAAATTATCTGATTAGCTTATTCGAATTAGTCGATGATAGTGTTTGTCTTCAAACAAAGAACACTGATCGAGAAGGAACAAGAGAACAAATTCAATTCATTTGAAACGAAGATAATCTAGTAGTAACATGCTACCCATCTCTTTACTTAATACAATTCAAAATATGTTAAACTATGAGCGAAAAAGTAGAATAAAAAAAAACTCAACCCACTGATTTTTGAACAATTTAGACGTTTGAGAAATTTTCTTTCGAATAAATTATTTGTGTAATTTACTAGTACGTTCTATCTCATCTTTCATATCTCTCTGAATTAAATAAATATGAGTTCAAGTTTTTTTCAATTTATTCGGAATAGCATTAAAAATTAGATCTCACAATTAAATTTTATGTTGACGAGAAATATCTAATACATATCAAGATGTCAGCCATAGATGATAGCAGTTTGCTGAAAAATAGAAATCTGTTCGATGCCTTGTTTTGAATAAAATAGTGTAATATATTTCAAGTCTATTTTAATCAATTTCTGCCTCTTGACGAGTAACTTACATTAGCAGTTGACATAAATGAAAAAATGTAAGATGCAGGCAATTCGAACTTCGAGCAAAGTTTCTTTTTGACTTTTTTTTACATCATTTGATAGAGCGTGAGCTGCTGATCACGAAACACAACTTTTTACCTCACGCAAATACATTTTTCCAGTCTAAAAACACAACTTTTTCAAAATGTAAAAAATTTTCTACTTCATTTTTTTGTCAGCTTCTGAGAATATTTTTTTCGGATTCAGCATCAAAAACTGAGTACAGACAAATTGTTAAATCGACTATAGACTCAAAACTCTCTTGGTGGTGGCGCTCCGAATCACATCGAGTGCACTACGTATAGGTCGATTTTGTAAACCTATCTAGTTTTTCTACGTAAGCGATGGAGGCAAATGTTTTATCTCATTTTACTTATCATACCCCAAGTCACAAAAGTATGCATCGCTTTGTTTTTCTTTCCTTTTCTTTGCTGAGAAAACTCAATTTTATTGGTATCATAAACATGCCAGGCGGTATTTAACAGTTTTCGAAGTAAAATCAGACTTTTAGTCATGAACTAAATACAGATTCGGAATCAGCACAAAACACTGAGTTAAATGAAGTATCTTTCAAGGTAATTTGACAACTTTCATTTTTTGACACGTTTATAAAAATTCTAGTTCTCCGACAAAGACAGAAAATATGAGAAAATTTGAAAGTTGTCAAATTACCTTGAAAGATACTTCATTTAACTCAGTTTTTTGTGCTGATTTCGAATCTGTATTTAGTTTATGACTAAAAGTCTGATTTGACTTCAAAAACTGTTGAATACCGCTTGACATGCTTATGATGCCAATAAAATTGAGTTTTTCTCAGCAAACAAAAGGAAAGAAAAAAAAGCGATGCATACTTTTGTGACTGGGGATATGATAAGTAAAATGAGATAAAACATTTGCCTCCATCGCTTACGTAGAAAAACAAGATAGGTTTACAAAATTGACTTATACCGAGTGCATTCGGCCCGATTCGAAGCGCCACCATTAAATTATTTCTCGAACTAGAATCGATTTAATATATTTTCTAGACTTAGTTTTTGATGCTGAATCTGAAAAAAATAATTCTAGAAGCTCAGAGAAAGCTCAAAGTGAAATATAAAGGATATTTTGAAAAGGACATGTTTTTTAACAAAATCAACGTCCTTCAAATTTTTCGTATTTTTCGACCTGAAGAAAGTATTTGCTGAGGCTAAAAAGCGTATATTCGTGATTAGCAGCTCTCGCTCTATCAAATGATGTAAAAAAAAGTTTAAAAAACATTTTGCTCGAAATTCGCTTTGCCGGCACCTCACGAAGAAGTGAATAAGTCAAAAGATGAGTTGAACATTTAGAACGCTTGTTATAGAGGTGTTCGTATTGTCAGCTAATAAGTTTAGATATATTCGGGCCAAATTACAGCTCTCATCATTAAACTAAGAAATTTAAAATATAAGCTTTTGTTGCCATGCCTAGACCGAGATATTCGAATTTGACGATATTTACATCATATGAAACATGCTCATAAGTCAAAATTTTATCAAAATCTTTTTTTTCTTTTTCCATCATGATTGAATAGAGCTTGTCGAGTTATACAAGAAAACGTGTGTTTCAAATCCAAAACAATTTTAACGGAAATCAAAATTCTTGGTCTATTTCCCCGTATATCCGAAAATAATATTATTGTGGACTTCTTTATAAATTTTTTTTTTGAATTTGAAACATACTTTTTCTTATCTAACTTGACAAGCTCTATTCAATCATGACGAAAAAAGAAGAAAAAAGAAAAAAAAAGATTCTACTAAAATTTTGATTTATGAGGACGTTTCATATGGTGTAAATATACTAAACTTCGAATATCTCGCTCTAGGCATGGCAATAGAAGCCTATGTTTTAAATTTCTTAGGTTAGTGATGAGAACTAAAATCTGGCCAGAATATATCTAATCTTATTAACTAACAATACAAACATATCTATCGTTAGTCAAAAAATAACTATTTTAATGCGTTACATGACGCACATTGTAATGCCTCACATGAAAAGCATTTTGTTGTGACCATTTTACATCATTATAATAAATACTATTTATAGGCATTTTAATGCTATTTTACTATTTTTATCCGTGGTCGGGTTGTATACTTCAAAGTTGAATTTTGGAACTTATAACCTGACACTGGAATTGAATTCAACTGTTAAGGTTGATATATATGATCCTAATGTCAGTCGAATTAAGCCTACCGCTGAATGAGATAAAATTCATCTGATATTGTCTCATTAATTTTTTTCTGCTATTTCTCTTATCGAAGTGAGCCTTCTCTTTACCTTGTGCTATTCTACATGAGAAAAACGAAGATATATATATATATTCTTACATTGCAATCGCATACGCACATATATATAATGAATATTGAAATATATTTCAATGATATGAATAGGTGACAAGAAAATATTGAATTCTACTTATTACTAAGAATTTGTAAAATAAAATATATCATTCAAAAAAATCATATTCTCTTTCACATATTTAAATATTATCATGCAAAGTGACAATAAATCTATTAAGATTCAGACAAGACAATAGGATGAATATTGTTTGAAACTTGTATAAGAAATTATTAAGATTAAATCTCATTTGTTTTTTTTTTGTCTAATAGAATCCATATATATGTCTCAACCAATGTTTCATACATCAATTAATTGTAGACTTCTCAAATTATTTCTAGTTTTTATTTCTATTGCCATCGTTTATTTATGTTTTAATGCATATACTACTATTACTAGTATACTTACTAATACAAGAAACATTCAAATTCAATCAGAACCAAATCAAATGCGACCTCATGCTTATATAATTACTGAGAATTGCACGTCATTACGTTTTAATACAACTAAAGAAAATATTCAACGTGTATTTCCAAATTTTTTTACTATTTTATGTTATTTATTTGTACCATTAAATGATACTCGAATTCATACAGCATCGGTACCCCTATGGAAAAAATTTTCATCAAATTTATTAACATTCATAGATATTTGGACATATAAAATTCCAAATGACTTAAATATTAATGAACTTGAATGGACATTTATATTTGAAGATGATGTTAATTTTGTTGATCCATCAAAAGTTTCATTATTAAATTATATAACAACATTACAAGAATTAATGTATAATAAAGAAATTCAATCTAAACATGGATTTTTATATTTAGGAATATGTGGACCAACATTTGATAATAATAATCAAACATTAATATCAAAAAATACAAATAATAGTCTTTTTAGTAAAAAAGCTTTTGGATATTGTCTTCATGCAACAGGTATAACAAAACGTCGATCGAGATTATTTTGGGCTGAAATATCATCATATAGACCTAATCCTGGGGAAGAAGCGCTTGATGCTCAACTTCGAAGTTATTGTATTCGAAGTGACAATCATTTTTATACAATGGGTTCAAATTTTCATTTTCCTCCTGGTACAGGACATTATGGAATTGCATATCAAGATCGAGGAAGATTTTCAACAACTATAGCAAAATAAAATTCTTGAATGTTTAGTTAATTTTATTTGTATATGAAAAAGTTTTATCTATAGAAATTCTTTCAATTGAATAAATTGTTAAGAGGAGATTCATCAGAACATCTACCTGCATAATATAGACCAAGGCGCCGCTAAAATTTTAATTTTAGATTTAATTATCCCAAATGATGGATTACCATTAGAAACCTATAAATCCAAAAGATTAGGTCTTTCTGGCTTGCCTATGATAAATGCCAAAGTATACAAGCAATTCTACTCTTGGCCCTTCATAAAAAAAAATCGAATATTTTAGCGTGCTGTTAGTATTTTGCATTTTTCTGTGCGTTCGATTATAAGTTCGAGTTTGAAGATATCTTAAAAAATGCAGAAATGTCTTTTCTACAACATTGAATAACTCATTAACTTCTAGAATGCCATTCATCAATTGATAATAGCATTATACAGTCAAAAATAACTATAGGCTAAAAGAAAGATTTTCTCGTTTTTTTGACTATAACAACACTGAGTCATACTATCTCAAAATTATTTATATATTTTCTGAAGATCCTTGAAAATCTCCATCGTTTAGGGTATTAATTCAATGGACTAAAACATCAGGAAAAATAGTTAGTCCATTCTATAAATGTTAGCAGCTGATGGTCATCTCTATCACTTCTGACCTATAATCACGATCCAAAGTGATTCACACGAATCTTCATCGTTTAATATTTGATATTTTGTTTTTTATTTCATCGTGTGACAAGAATGATGATTAATTCTACAAGAATTCCAAAACTGCTAGTCGATACGAAATCGAATCAGATATGGTTATCGATCACGATAACAATGAAGAGTACAATGATTTCGAAGATAAAAATGTTAATCCTAGTTTTCATGAGACTAAGGATGGTATATTTTAACTTTAAAAATACTTTGATAAAGTAGTTAAAGTTATAGTAGAGGTTTCTTCACTAAAGAAGAGCTTTAAAAGATTTTTTAGTGAAAAACTCAAACTCAAAATTTTGAGAAACCGATTTTGAGATTCAGATGCCTCAACCATGAATACTTTTGATCAATCTTTATTAAGAATAGTTTCGTTTTTTCTTCGAAAGCTTTTCTTTAGTGAAGAAATCTCTACACTTTGGGTGTGGGGTGTG